GGTGCACGGCCACAGGCATGCATGCACGCACGCACGCACCCATGCTCATTGACCAGAGTAGGGGATAGAATTGCCCATGCTTTGTTTTCTTTTTCTTTTTCTCTCTTTTTCCATCTCTCATCCCAGTTAGTTGAATTTTTGTTAAATTAAAAGTCTAAGGCCCATTTGAAGTGGATCTCGTGTGTGTGTGTGTGTGTGTGTGTATGCATATATTTATACACAAACACATGCAGTCCCAGGCAAGACTACTTTGAGGGAAGACCAGACCTGACTCATATACTTGACATCAAAATCCCATCTATATAGGGCTTCCCTGGTGGCGCAGTGGTTGGGAGTCCGCCTGCCGATGCGGGGGACGCGGGTTTGTGCCCCGGTCTGGGAGGATCCCACGTGCCGCGGAGCGGCTGGGCCCGTGGGCCATGGCCGCTGGGCCTGCGCGTCCGGAGCCTGCGCTCCGCAATGGGAGGGGCCGCAGCGGTGAGAGGCCCGCGTACCGCAAAAAAAAAAAAAAATCCCATCTATATAAACCTGAAAACGTGAGTGTTTTTGTGATTTCAGTTCTTTGGTTAGCTAAGAGAGATATATACTATATACTGTAACGTGCCTTATCCATTTTCACCTACTATGATGTTATCCATTATAGCAAAATGCACTGAACACCAACACTATATTGGTTGTTATTTACCCAGTAGTGATTCAGAATTCCATGGTGTTTTAAGATTATTTGTATTATGATGGTCCTGTATGTGGTGGAGGTGGAGGCCCTAGAATCTACTCTGGTAGTTGCAGTGTTCCTGAGTCCCTACAAGCTGGTGAGCTCAGTTTCCTGTATAAAAATAAAAGGAAAAAATTCTCCAAGGTGAGAGAATGTTGATGCTATGTTCCCTATAAATGGGGTTATTGATTATCATGGCAATTAACCCTATTATTCAACCTGTATAAATGAGTGTAACCTGGTACCCCTGGTGACTTTTGACCCTTGTAGATAAAGTTTCTGTGTAGCTACAGTTTGAGGGCACAGTCTGGTTCTTGGCAAAGAGGTAGTGGCAGTAGAGAATTTCCCTTCTAGTGTAATGCTGGGGTGTTAATTATTATTTAATTAATTAACAATAATGAATACAAACCTGCCTGTCATCTCCTAGAAACTGCCATGGGCCATTCCTGTTATTACAGAGTCAGTAAACATTTATTGAAAAGGGACTAGCAGGCAATATGCCCCTAGGGTGACTGAAGCAGGACTCCGGCCAGCCCTGACCCCTCCACTGGAGAGGGTCCCCTCATGGGAGCCGTTTCCTGGGTTTTTCATTCCACCCCAAGCACTCGTTTTACAAACACAGCCAAGAGTACTTTGAGGGGAGGCAGACCTGGCTCGCAAACCTGACATCAAAACACCAAAGTGTCCAAGAGACAGACAGACAGGCTCTGAGCCAGGTAAAACTGAAGCATCCAAAATGGCACAGGTACCAGGCCCAGAACACCTAGTATCCCCCATGCCTTCCAGGGTTTGGAGTGAACCTAGTACAGGCGGAGCATTGCCCTTCAGAATCCTCACATGGTATATATTGGATTTCCTGAAGCAATTTCAGAGCAATGTGTTCTTTTGTTTTAAGATAAAATCTACTCAAGGCCATTAAGTTATTATTGTGTCTGATAAATCTGGACCACATGTGACATGAGGCCCGTCTGTGTCCTTAATCTCAGTCACTTACTGTGTGTGCTTAATGCTACATGTTTTTGTTAAATATAATGTTAACCACAGACATAAACCTAAAATAACATGAATTTTTTCAGTCAAGTGATCTTTAATTTAAACTAAAAATAGCCTAAACCGTAGTTTATGTAGACCTCAAATATCAAGACTCCCACCCCAATGCGAGTTCAGCAAACTATAAATTTATGAGGCACTTGGTTAGCATTTGAACATTTTAAACCAGATCAGGCACAATCTGTATTAGAGACAAGCTCCAGAAAACCCAAGAGTTGCACTCCTGGCTGATCCTGCTGACTGGAACATTCCTTAGGGAAGTCCTTCTCTGGGGGCTGGCAGAATGAACCGTTAACACAACACCCTGCAGGCATAGGGGTGTCGAGGGCGCAGTCAGCGTTTCTCAGCACTTTTGTAAACATAGTTTTGTCTCCTGAGAGACCAGGTTCTCTGGCCAGCAGAGTCTGGAATGTGGGCGAAAGAACCTCTTTGACTTTACAAGCAGCTTGATCACCGGAGAAAAGTTGGAAGCATGTCACAAGTGAAACATTCCTCCATGTGTGGTGAGGCCATTCTGCCAGGGCTTGGATCTCCTCTGATGTGGTTTCCCAAACAACAGGGAGCATCTGGTGGCTGCTCAGGACATCCCAGCTCAGGACGGTGGGAGAGGGTTTAGGATAGTGTGTTGATTCTCCCTGGGATTGGATTCTCCAGGGTCTGCAATGATGCAGTTTGACCTGCTCCACATGCTGTGCTTTCACTGTGTCCTTAGAGATGGAGGTTGGAGCCATTTTTCTCATGAGACATTGTATTTCTGTAACCTCTACACGTACAGCAGAGTTCCCTGAAAGCCATCAACATTTTCAGATCTACCCATTTGAAAACCCTATCACCACTTTTATTTATAGATATCAAGTCAAACCCTAAATCAAATTTAAGCTGACTTTTAATATCCTTTGCTACATGCAGTTGAAAAACCAGTCAGTTCCTATGTTTCCTGAAACAGAGATAGAGGTATAGATATAGATAGAGATATAGATAGAGATATAGATATAGGTATAGGTATAGGTATAGATGTAGCTATAGATACAGATACAGGTACAGATAAAGATAATAGATATCAAGCAGGAAAAAAAATAAAAACCCGAGTAATGACATTGAAAAATTATTCTTATTTGTCAGATGTATCGGATAATTTCTTGGTTCTCTACTTAACCCTAATTGGATGGATTTTTGACATCTAGGCAGGAGAGCAAGACTGCATCTACCCAGAGATGGTTTTCATTGTTCTGTTGAGCAGGCTGCTGCTGCCCTAGATACCATGCATGAGGATCCTCCGAGTTTTTGATGTTTATTGCTGCATTAAATAGTTAATCCATTTGATAAATATTTACAGAGTGCTTGCTCTATGCCAGTCACTGGTGGACAGGCTGGGATGGAAAGCTGCCCTGAGGGCACCTGGTGGGGTGGAAGAGCCTGTGGGAAATCCTAGGAGCGGGCATTTTTCAGGGAGAGGTTTGGCAGGAGAGGCCTGGACTGGGGGGAAGGTGGCGCCAACATGTAGGCGGCACTGCAGAAGCTTTCCTTTCTGACAAGATAGCAGGATAGTTGTTGGTCAGCTGACCCACTAACCAAAAAATTGGTTCAAATGGGGAAATGTAAAGAAATTATACTTATGTTCTTAAACATTTTGTCATTTTGTTTTAACTTAAGCCATGAAAACGTTCATTTTTTTCACCAGTTTTGTGGTGGGAGTGAAAGCCTTTTCTTTGAAGGAAGCTGATTGGGCTTCCATAACCTTCACAGAAACCACAACTATAATGTGATGATTTTAAATCCAGTTTCTTTCTTTTTCTTTTTTTCTTTTTTAGATTCAGCAGAATTTGAAAGACCCATGTGAAGCAGTCTAGGGGCAGATTTTTGTGATTTTTTTCCTCATCTTTTACAGTTGTCTGCCCACACCCAACTTGGTAGCCTATTGTAGCTAGTAGCTAAATTAGTCTTCATGAAAACAACTTAACTTTTATTCTCATATTTCGTTGGTTAACACAACATGTAGCCACATGTATTGATTGAAGTAACAGAACTACTGACATAAATAGGTTTGAGTATAAATACTGTCGACCCTTGGTAAGTGTACCCTCAACTATGGGAATAGACCCGTGTGGGTGACCAGAGGGGGCACTGCCTGCCTGGAGCAGGAGCTCGGATGCCAGGCCGTGTTGTTCCGGGGATGGGGGTGGCATCAGCTAATCCAGCTCCACGTGGGGGTGGCCAAGGGAGCCTCTCTGTATAGGAGCATGGAGTGGCCTGGGGGTGTGCAGAGCAAAAACACAGAGGAATTGATGAAAGATGGTCAGAGACGTATGAGGAAAACTAGGAAAATATGGCTGCAGAGAAGCATTTAGAACCTCTTTTCATAATTACCTCTGTTTGTGTCTGTCTCCTCTCCCACGCTGACTTGAGGTCAGGGATGGCTTATTGTACACCATTGTTTCTTCTAGTCCATTCCCAGCACTCGAGAAACCTCTCATAAACATGTTTCAATGAATTGAAGTGTGTGTGTTTTCCACGGGGCTGTTGACAAAGAGTGAGCAATCCTTATGCACAGTGAGTCTCTCCCCTGGAAGTCATGGGTCAGCAGACTGTGGGCCACCTGATCACATGTGTTCTGTGTCTCGGCTTTACCCCACTGACAGCACGTATGTGAACTGAGATCATTGTTCAACTCGCATTGCATGTCAGCCTCCCTCATCTAAGCCAGCATCCTGGTGTCTTCCAGGTCCAACTGGGTGGGAAGGTGACAGGTATGATCTTGGTAGACCCAGCTATAGTGATATGAAAGAAAAGCCATAATTGTTCATGAGTTTTCATAAGTCAAAGTCTTGGTTGGTTCCCACTACACGTTAGCATAGTGACTTCTCTGCAGGCAGTGAAACACTAGATCATTAACGCTAGGATATGTTAATGTGGAAAAGCAAGTCCAATCATCAGAACTATAATATTGCAGTTGGTGTAATTGGTTCATTCACTTATTATTCATTTGTTTTGTGAATGCTGTCTGTTACATGGTCAATCAGTCTCCATTCACTGGGTAAGCAAGTCATCACCCTCTCTATTTCTCTATAAGCTTGTGACTCCTGGTCTGATCTGTGAGAGTGGCAGAGAACCAGGTATCACCTGTGCCACCTTTTGTGTTTAAGACATGATTTAGGTTAGCATAGTGTGCTAGAACCTGGATGAGGAGATGAGAACCCTGTAATGAATGTCCTCTCCCCTCCTTTCCCTTGGGCAGCTTGGGAATGAACCACGATGACGACCACTCCTCCTGCGCTGGCAGGTCCCACATCATGTCGGGAGAGTGGGTGAAAGGCCGGAACCCCAGCGACCTCTCCTGGTCCTCCTGCAGTCGAGATGACCTTGAAAACTTCCTCAAGTAAGTCCTTGAATTGTTCTGTACAATCAGCGCAATAGAAAGTACTACAGTACTTCCTAAAGACACGATAGTTGGAGTCTCAGCCAGTGTGAGCAGAAGTGAATCTCTTAGAATTCTCAGCTGGTCAAGCTTCCTCCCAAGTGTGCATCTGGTGTGACACTGGGCACCCAGCTGGTGATCATAAATCTTATCGATGGAAATGTCAATGCAGTGACTGTATCTTGACAAGATTTCATTTCACTTCTCTGCATTATTTTGACTGTGGGTGGGCACCACCCTAGTGACACACTTTGGCTACTGTAGAACAGGGCATTTCCACAACACTCAGGCTGCTTCCCTGGACAGGAGTCCATCTGCTGGGAGGATGGCTTGCTCACCTTCCTCACATGTGGGACTGGGATGAGTTTATCTCATAGACACTTTCTTTCCAGAATGTGTCTGCATCACTCCATTCTCAGACTTCCGTGGAAGAATTGGCCATCTGATGTCAGAACTTTGTCAAACAGAGTCTGTGCTCATATACAATGTGGATCCCTTAGTGTCAGGACCTCAGGGCTGAACTTACAGGTTTGACAGGCAGACCCTGATTGTTTCACTACTTAATTGCATCATCTCTACACTCCATGGTGACTGAAGGGGTCAGTGAACTCAGGGAGGAGGACCAAAGGCATCACTCTGGCTTCATCCTGGGTCTTCTTTCATGAAGTTTCCTGTGGTTGGGAAACTAAGTGGTACACAGGGCTTAAAAATGGGCTCATTAGGGACTTCCCTGGTGGTCCAGTGGGTAAGACTGCACGTTCCCAATGCAGGGGGCCCAGGTTCAATCCAGGGTTGGGGAATTAGATCCCACATGCATGCTGCAACTAAATATCCTGCATGCTGCAACTAAACATGCCACAGCGAAGATCCCACGTGCTGCAACTAAGACCTGGTATGCCAATAAATAAATAAATAAAAATAATAATTTTTAAAAATGGCCTCGTTAGTTTTAATGTAGTCTATTTCCTACTGAGTACTTGTATCACCAAATCATAATGCAATGTTGGAAGCCACTTGATATTATTTCATTTTACCCAGAAGGGTTAGTGAAACAAAGGTATTTTCATCTGCTCACATATACAGTAGTGGTCCCACTGACTTTGTTGAAGTGTCCCATGAGTTTGAGCCCAGGAGAGGTGAACCAGTATCAGCCTGTATGTATTGCGTGCGTGCAACTCTTTTCTTCAAGAATCTTGGCAAGAGGCTGGGTTTTCTTTTTACTACCATCTGCCTTGTTTTAGGAATTAAAAAATAAAAGCATTCAAGTATTTAACTCCTAATGGAGCCACAGCCACACAACCCCCAGTTTAATTTTTCAGAGCTGTTCTCAACATCTCTGAACATTTCCATCCTGGTTGAAATCCCCAAGTCCTTTGCACGGTGTGCCACCAGACAACTTTCATGGCCAGGTGGGGCATCTGGACCAGCCAGCAGCCATGGCGTGACAGGCCCCCCCAAGAAAATCTACAGAATTGGAAATAAGCTTGCCTATTTATTTATTTATTTAAAAGAAAACAACCCTACTCCAATTGTTTCTTTATTCATAGTGACTTTTGCTAAAGCCACATTCTAAGAAAATATCATAGGACTCTATTTCAAAAGCATTGTCATCCAAGAAAGCACTCAGACTCCCTGACAAAAGTACATTAGCCACGTGGGTGATACGCCCAGGCCCTTTCCTAGTTGCCCAGTTCTCATGGCGTCCGGAGTAAAGATCTGCATTCAGCTATGTGGAAAAAGAGCAAAAAGTGCAGCCCATGTGTCTGGTGCCTGGTCATCTCCCCATAAATAATTTGGAGGTTCCTGCTTCTCAGTAACTGAAAAAGCAGAACAAAAACCTGGGTGGTACATTTGCAAACCAACTTGCCTCTCGGCTGTTTCAGGTCAAAAGTTAGCACTTGTTTGCTGGTCACAGACCCCAGGAGCCAGCACGCGGTGCGCCTGCCCCACAAGCTGCCAGGCATGCACTACAGCGCCAACGAGCAGTGCCAGATCCTCTTCGGCACCAATGCCACCTTCTGCAGAAACATGGAGGTAAGCAGCCTCGGGAGGGGAAGGCTGGCTCAGGAAGGAGCACCTGGCTTCTCTGGGAGGATACAGGCATTTACACTCCACACACACACACATAAACGTATGTGTATACATGCATGCACATACATGCACACACATATACCTCATGAGCAACTTCACGGGGCACCCAGAGTGAGCCACACACACACATGTGCATGAACACATACACACACACGCACACATAGGCAGGGGGATGGTTCAGAGTTACTGCTGACACCAATAGCCTAATGTGTTATGTTGTTTTGTTTTTTAATCCAAAGGTGTTTTCTTTCTTAGTAGCCTGTCTTAACGTGAAAACATTAAGACACTAGGAAAAAGTAAATTAGCCTATTCTTGGAGGTGATATCAAACCCAGCACAGATATAGAAGAGAGCTAAATCTACTGGACGTTGGAGAGTGTCATATTGAGAACATTTAACAAATAATAAATTGATTATATGATAATAGTATTAATAACCCCATTAAAATGTTACCATTTACTGAACAATGCCCACATGCTTTGCCCTAAAGCTTCCAATGTGCCTGATATCAATTAACCCTTACCACAGATTCCCGAGGTTACTGTCCCCCAGGGTACAGATGATAACATCAAGCCTCAGAGGTGAACTGATCATTCAGAATGGCTTGGCCAGTAGATAAGTAGAGGATTTGACTCAAGTCTGTGCACTTTCTCACCGTACTGCAGAGAGCTGGGCCACTTCTGTGGGCGGGGGGCATGTGCCCAGGCCCTGGGGCAGGCTGTCTCCAGGCTGGGGCCCCAGGGGAGGGCCACAGCAGCCTGTGGTTCAGCCAGCAGTTGGCAGCTGGCTCAGGGATGGATGCGGAGCCGGCACCATCATGGGGCAGGAGGACAGGAGAAGGAGAACCAGCTGGAGATGTGTGGGACTCAGGAGCCACCCAGTGGCAGTCAGCCTGGAGCTCAGGGCAGCATCTAGTCCCAGGGAGGCAGCCTGCAGGGCTGGATGGGTGCCCAGAGCAAGAACTCAGGATGGGAGCAACTCCAAGACAGATGGATAGACCGGGACTGTGCCTTCAAAATGAGACCCCGGGATCCCGGCCAGCACAGCAGGTCAGCCTGGACTCCAGGAGGCGGGATGCTGCCTCTTGAGCGTTTCCTGGCTATGCGTGAATTGGTTCAGGAAATCTGGGTGGAATCTGCAGGTGGGGCACTGCCTGCCATTGTTTGGGGTATGGAAAAGGGCCGTGCCTCACAACCAACCTAGCACCTCCTGCTAGCTGTTTCCTCAAAGGGCATTTATTCAGTGTTGTCCTGAGTCTTCCTCTTCCGTTCCCCTGTGGAGGTACCAGCAAGGGTCTCTTCCAGGCCCTGGTAACAGGAAGCTGTCTCCCACTTCACACCCAGCCACAGCTGGGTTGAAGGACACCTCTCTAGGGAGATGGGACCAGCCCCCGGATCCGATCATCCCCAGTGGTCCGCTGCGATGTCTGGTGCTCACCATCAGCCTTGACCATTAAGGCTTGACCATTGAGGCACTCATTCATGTACCATAGGCTGGCCAAGAGGCATCCTGTTTGTCTGTCCCAGGCTTCAGTCACTTAAAGTGCATGATGGCACAGAACTATCAGAAAGGGCAGGTTTCAGAGGGTCTTTTGATGGTGTGGTGACACCAGGAGATCCATGTGCATGGTACCCCAGTAGAGGGTGCCGAGCATTCGAGAAGGGTAGAAGTGCCCTGAGCACCCAGAATGGAGAAGAGGGAAGCGCCCAGCTGAGTCAGGGGACACACAGTGGCCACTCTGCCCACTGTGGAGTCTTCCCTGGCCAACAGGATTAACTGGGGCGGGAGCTGGACAGAGGCTGCCTCCTCCCAAAGAGCCGCAGCCATTGCCTTCTAGGAGCTGGGCTGTTGCACATCAGTTGGGTGAGGGGAGATAGGAGGGAGGTTCAACTACTGGTGGCTCATGATCTTCTAGGCTAGACTTTTTCCATGCACTGTCACATGAAACCCTGACTGCAACCCTTGAGGGCAGGGGCTTTGAACTCCACTTAGCAGATGAGCAAACAGAGGCTGAGAGAGGCTAGGTAATGGACCAAGGTCACTCAGACAGAAAGGGATGGGCTGGAGACCAAATCCAGGTGTGACTATTCCTGCAGGAGAAAAGGCAGGCTCCATTCATTCAAAGACAGATTCCAAAGGAGAGAAAGGTAACCTGGTATTTTATTTTCCTTCATTAGCATCTTTTTGTTTGAAGAGGACAGTGAGAGGTCAGCAAGGCATGTTTAGCTCAGCTGTGTTGCTCCTTTCTCCCTAGAAGCTCAAAATACGACTATATAAAGTGAGATCTTTTGTAAGTTAAAATACAGCTGAACATTTATTCCTACAGCTCACCAAGAAGCATGAAATATGCTTTCCTGCTTGCCTTTTCCTTGAGAATTCCACCAGTACCAAAACAAGGTTGACATTTTCCTCCCCAAATCTTAGCAGTGTTACCGACCAGGGTTCTTGGCCTCCTTAATCAATAGAAACTGATCAGAGGCCAGACAAGAAATTCAGGCGAGGCTTTACTGGGGCCCCTGCTACAGCAGCGGGTAGTGAGAACAAGTAACAGTTTCCTTTGCTTGCTCGCTCCCTGAGGGCTCCTTATATGGGGTGAGGGTAGGGATGGATCCAGGGGTTGGGCTGGAGGGGTGGCCTAGGTGATTTGACCACCCCTTTGGCGGTGTTGTGTGCAGGGGGCATGTGCAGTATCCTGCTTCTGCTCCCGACACCCTGTTTTTACTCCTGGCTCTTCAGAAGTGGCAGTTGATTTGCTTTGGTCTTTTTGTATCTTGCTGTACAGAATTTGCCCCAACTGCACATGCACATGGTTTGTTTTTTTTGATTAATTAAGTAATTAATTAATTTGGCTGCGCCAGGTCTTAGTTGCTGCATGCGGGATCTTTTAGTTGCGGCATGTGAACTCTTAGTTGCGGCATGTGGGATCTACTTCCCTGACCAGGGATTGAACCTGGGCCCCCCCCTGCATTGGGAGCGTGGAGTCTTAGCCACTGGACCACCCGGGAAGTCCGCACGCAGTTATTTTTAGTTCCTTATAGTTTCTTTGTATCTTGTTGCTTGAGGAGACATTTGTCCAGGTGCAAGCACTGCAGCAGAGGGTCCCAGGTCCCAGCCTGTCTCAGCAGGAGTGACTCCTTAGAGGTGTGGAGGTGCTCAGCTGACTCAGCATCAGCCTTAGCTGGTGGTGATCATCCTGCTTGCAAGGCTGGTGGTGCTTCCTTCAGCACAAATCTACCAGTTAGAAAGCAGTAACTTCTCACGCTGGGGAAAATGTCATACTAATACCAAAGAGACACTGGTGGATGAGAGAGGCAGTTGCCTGCTGGGACCCAGGACTTGGGGATGCTGCCCTAGGCCTAGGACACATCATTGGAATCTCACCCAGGCACCACCCTGTGGGATTCTAAAGCTTGCTTGATTGGTGTTTTGCTCATTTGTGCGCTTATAGGTCTGTGTTTCAGTTGATGTTCAGCATAACAGGAGGCACACATATGTTGTACTGTTCCTTTCTTCCTCCTGTCCTCATCCCCTTATTCACTCCCTTTCATCTATTCTGTTCCAGTTCTACTTGCCTTTGTCCTCTTCCTCGAACCCACAAGGCACGCTCCTGGTGGGGATGCACTCTGCTTCCTGCTGGCTGTTTCCTCTACTTGGATGGTCCTCTCTCAGTTGTCCACGTGACTGAGCCCCTCGTCTTTTTTGAGTTTTTTGTTTGTCTGTTTGTTGGTTCAAATGTAACCTCCTCAAGGAAGCCTACCACCCTATTTAAAATTTCCATCAGGTAACTCTCCCCTGCCACCTTTGTGGCACCCAGATCTCCTGATCCCCTAAGGGAAAAGCCTGCTTTCATAAACTTATCATCTTTTAACATGCTGTATAATTTGCTTGTTTATATGACTATTGTTTTGATAATCTCCCTCTTCTAGATTTTAAATCCTTCAAGGGCAATAATCTTACTTTTCCTCAACAATATTTTCCAACTGCCCTAGCCAGTGCCTGGCACATAATAGATGTTCAAGTATGTGTTGCTCTGAAATCCATTCATGACCCTAACAATAAATTTAAGTTCTTATATGACTTCACCCAACCACCGATGAGACTGGACAAGTTCACAGGCGAGGCCCTTACAGGCCTCCCTGTAAAATGAATTGGCTCTCTAAGCCTGAGTCCACATTTCTCCATCTGGTTCACCAACATACATGTAAAACTCTGTCAAATATCTTGCAAGGGTTCATACAAACCTTTCCCGTGGCTTCCTCCCAGGACAGTACGAGTCTGGTAGTGAGAGACTGCATCCTGCTTCCTAATGGCCATGTCTCTCTCTGTGCATTAATTAATACCCTCATTGTTAAAATCTGAGACTCCTGGTGAATTAATACACGTAAGGTGCTGAGAACTGGGTCTATCACAAAGTAAGCACCCAAGCATTTGAGCTGATGAATGTGTTGCTTTTACCTTTCTGGATAACACTGCCTCCCCACTGTGGGGGCACAGAACTAATCTATCTTTGTACATCTCCAGGATCAGCATTTTTCTATATTGAACTCCTCAGGGCCATGAAAAATTAGGCATTATACAAAACTCCAGAGACCTTCAGCGCCAACTGAAATGTCGTGTAATCCAATGCCCAATTGATCTCTATAACCATCATTATTCTTTAATGTCCTTGAGGATTGAAATGGATATCATGTAATAAAATGATCATGGTCCCAATATTGCCTTTAAATTTCTTATCCTGACATCTGCCTTCAGCCAAGATGGAGTATCAGGGACCAGATTTATCTTCCCACCTGAAGCAACTAAGAAATCAGATGAAATATATGAAACAGTGATTTTCAAGACAGTGGCCATCAAGCAAGGAAGGACTGTGATCCTTGGGAGATGTGAAACAAATGAGGTGAACCCTCTGATTGTCCTGGCTTACTGCCTGGGCCGTCTCCAGGC